GATAAGCCACAGAATGATGTTAGCTGCATTATAATGCCTGCTTTTATTATCTAGTAGAGATTTTATTATAGCTTTAGTTTAAAAATACCAACTCCGTTATTCTTACTACTGTTTGTATAATGCCTAGCTCTTAAATGCCTCTGGTCTGCCCAGGCAGTGAAAACTCACTCATTGCTTTTGCTCTCATCTCTCTGGCTTTGAGACCTTTCTGTGGCCTGGGTTTCTGGCCCTCTCTTGGCTCTGCACACTCTTGATTTGGGCTTCCCTTGCAGTTTCTTCTTTCAGCCATGTCTGGTACTCATGGGGGTTTTGGGGAGTCCAGTAGCTAAACCTATAAGAACAAGGGCCTAGAACATCTTTGAACTATCTTGCCTGCATTTACCTTTGAATAGTTTATAAACATTTTATGTATTCCAAGACATGTTTATGTATGGATCTACTTATAGATATTCATATTTTTATATGCATAGTTCTAGATTTGTTAAAAAGTATTTTTCCCAAATCACAATATTTTATTGTATTGTCTAATTTATATTAATTTTAATCAAATAAATTATAGGAGTAATTTCATATTTGTACAGTTTGGAAGCAAACTAACTGTTAATAACAATTATAACCATTGTTCACTGTTTATTTAAGTACTATACTTTGATTCCATTTTTTTCTTATTCAAGTTTATTTTTACTCATTATTTTATTTCTCTAGATAAGTGATCTCAGTTGTAAACCATTGTTTAATCTTTAATTCTGATACTATATGAAATTTGACTAAGGGTTAAGCAATGTCTCGATGCCAAAATCTTATCAAAATGAGTATGGCCAATTTTTTTAAAGATATATATAATCAATTTTATTTTTTTAAAAAAAGGAGTCTGTCACCCAATGTAGTTGATTTAGCCACTTGCATTGAGAACACCCTTTCAATATTTTCTCCCAACATCTATGTATAGACTTCTATATTCACTAGAGCATCAATACTTGGTTTTCTATGGACAGCTCACTTATCCATAGTAGTATATGATACCATGTTCATAAAATAGCACAGTACCTGATAGTTAATCAGTATTGGATTGACTCACATTGATTCATTCCAAACTCCATTTGAATATCATAACTTTCTTAATAATTTTCAACTGTAATTTATAGAACTATCTTAGATTTATCCCAGAAGTTTAAATCCCAAGGAAGAAATAAACGTTTATGTGATGAGCTGGCCTCATGTTTTTCCTACATCTCCGTATACTAAGGACCACATCACTCCAAGGAGCTGACATGATCTAGTTTCCAGTAACTTCATTTGTTATTTGCTTTTTGTAATAATTGTACATGAGACTAGTTTAAAGATGTTACTGATGTTACTGAAAATTCTGCAATGGAAATTGTCTCATCCTATGACCCAGACTCACTTCTGAAAGGCATCCACTTTCAACCTCTTTAATTGTTTCTGGCATTATTTTAATATGTCTAAATTCTGTGCTTCTACTACTATTTATTGATTAATTAGACATTAACTAGCTTTCTGCTACAGAAGATGCGGATTCAGCTCTCACTCCTCCAGCATTCCCCGCTTTTTCTTTTTCCTTTTTTCCTTGCTCTCGCCTTCCCAAAAAATTATATCACAGTCTATGTTCCCTTGCTCTCATCTTACCAAGTAGTTTTATCACAGTTTTGTGTTGACTAGGTAGTCAATTTATACACTATTGTGACCATTGCTAACTTCTGATTCAAACATTGTATTATGATTACATTTGCTTTCTTACATAGGTTTTATATTTCCTCAAATTAAAAATTGTCCTTTTCATTTTCTTGATTTTCATGCACTACATTTGTTTTTTTAAAAATGCTCCCATATATCTGCCAAAAGCTATATGTATTATCATATCTAAATCTCAAAAGCATCAATAAACTTTTAAGTTCCATTTTTTCCCCAAATCTACTGCCGTACTTCACCTTGCAGTATCTGTCTAGGGCTATTGCAAAGTTTTTATATGGGCATATTATTTACCTCTCCTCTGTGTCAGTTCTTCTGTTATACACTAGATCTGACATCTTCCTTCTCCTTGATTTATTCCCTCATCTTTCTAAGATACATCTTTCAGTAATTTTCTAAGAAAGGGTACGAGGAAAATAAATATTTTGAATCCCTAAAGATCCCAATTATGTATGTATTCTGCCTTCATATTTATTGGTAATTTGGCTGGGTATAAAATTCTAGCTTAAAAATTATTTTTTTCTCAGAATTTCGAAATTCCACTGTTTTTAAAGGTCCATGACCTTCTAGTTTCCAAGTTGCTATTGGTAAATTCAATCTTCCTCTCTTCTGCTAAACTTCTTACCATTTCTCTTCCAAATATATGTTGACATCTCTTCTACCTTTGCTGCTCTTCCCAGTAACCTTGTTGAGGTTTATAACAATTTTTTTCATTTTAATGGAGTAATTTTAATGGGGTTTTATGAATAAGTGTGAAACCTATGTGACTAGTCTACCATGTTTGTTCAAAGTCCATTGACATCTTTGTTTCCCAGTATTTAAATCCATGTGATCCCCTTTGCATATATTTTGACACTATTACTATTAAAAACCCTGAAAGTAGTTAATACTATTCCCATTTGATAAAGAGACAGCTGAGGCTTCAGGAATGTTAGTAGCTTTCTTAAATTCAAAGAGCCAGCATGAAACAAATTTGAATTTAAAATCATGTTTTCATGGTTTTTTTCACTTTACTGAGACATCACATTCAGTGATGTCTTTGTGAGGGCGATCACTGGTAATACCACAAGTCAGGCAATAGCTTCCCCATATCTTGCTGCAGTAAACTAACACCACAGCTGTGATGTAAATTATTCCTTTGAACTATTTTCTGAGCCATAGTATACAAGCTTTTGTCTTCAATCACTCTTGTTATTCCACAGTAGAAATTGGAACACCTAAAACCAAATAATTACTGGTCGTCTTACTGGTACATAACAGTGCTTGTATTAGAACAGATAAGAAAAACTGAAATTATGATGTTCAGCTCTGAAGGAAAATATCCTTTAATATTCAATGGTGCAATTTTAGTGTCCAGCACACGATGAAATAACTTCTTTCTTTGAAGATTTTACTTACATTTCCACCTAGGGCACAAATAGCATTCTCTAATTCTAAAACAAAAAAGTAAGTGATTGCTTTCAAAGTCTAGTCTTTTGAAGGCAATTGCAGTCTTTCAACTAAGTTGTTATTCTCAAAAAGGAAAAGAGACTTTCCAACTAGGATTTATGAGCAAGCACACATACCCAGTAATTTGGTGTGTTTGTATGTCACTTGGACTTTCTGTGGTTATAACAGCAGACATGCTTTGTGTTAAATGAATTCTTCCTGAAAGGAGTTTTCAGGTAATGCTTCCTAAAGGGTTTCTAGGTACTTGCCCAGTCAAGAGTTTGCCCATTGCTTTTTCCAGCTGAATTTCAAGTCTTCGTACTCCCTTATTTTATCATCTAATTATTCCCAACTGCATCTTAATGTAGGTTAAACAACACAAATAAGGGGAGAAAATGTTTGAGTCAAGCAGTGAAAGAGTGAAACTAAGCAAGACCTCCTCTGACCTGGGGCAAATCATTCTATTGTTTGAACCCTCAGGCTCTTGTCTGTAAAATAAAATCATACATATAGATGATCTCCAAGTCTCTTTCAGCTCTGGAAGCCATTTCTATACCATCTATGAATCTACTTCAATTAATTATCTAAAACAGCCACCACTGTTTCTATACATGTGTGACAATGAAAGAATTTATTGTTTTCTTTAATACATATTTACTGGCCATCATGCTCAGAGCTGGGTATAAAGTGGCAAATGAACAGACTCAGTCCTTAAAGCCTCATTGCATTCATAGTCCAGAGTAAAAGGCAGACAAAAACAAACTCTCAAAAAAAATAATAATAATAATTGTGATAAAAATACTATGACAGAGTGCTATGAGAAAGAATAATAGGAAAAAAGATTAATTAATCAGTGAAAGAGGAATGTTTCCAAGAAAGCTTCACTGGAGGAATGACAAGCGATGTGAAGGATGAAGTGTAGTGAGACAAGTGAAGAGTGACAGAAACAGCATTCCAGGCATATAGGGCAGCGTGCAGGATGGCCCTGGGGCACTAAAAAGCCTGTGCATTCAAGGAACTTGAAGAAGATCATGTGGCTAAAGCAGAATGAACAAGAGAGGGCTTGGCCTGGAATAAAGTTAAAAATGGATTCCCACCAAATCATACAAAGTTTGCTACTATGGTGAGCATCTTGTATAATATCATAAAGGCATGGAGAACCTACTGAAAGACAATTAAGCAAGAGAAGTTAATGATTCAAGGACACTTTTAAAAGATTACTCTGGTCACTTTACACAGATTGGAGGAAGGCGAACACAGATAAAACTAGTTCAATTGGGTGTTAGTCCAGGCAAAGAATGATGGTGGTTTGGATAAGGAGGCAATGGGAGAGAAGAGGGTGAATTTTATATATCTTTGGATATCCTCATTTTGCATCTGTAATGAGCTGTGATACACATTGGGATATCTGTTTCCCTTTTATTAGTCATTTTTCTGAGAGTTTATCCAACAGCTTCGACTCATTGATAGGAATTTAGGTAAAAATGGGCAGAATTTCAGGACTTGTACTTCTCAGCAATACATATAGAGGAGCAGAAATGGGTAACCTATATAAAGAGCAAAGAAAGTAGAATTTGCTAGCTTGACTTGAGAGAACAATGAAGTGGAGGCAGCTATGACTTTCTGGAGTAATGAATAGAAAAAGAGTGGGGGGAAACCAGACCTGATACCTTAGGTAGAAAGTGTGAGAAAAGGTTAAAGAATCAACCATAATATTTTGCCTATTTTGAAAGGTTCGTGCAAAAGTCGCAGAAGATAAGAATTACCTGGGTTAAGGAACTAAATCACTTTCCAGTGATTACATACTAGTCACCAAAAAAGGTTAAGTTGTACCTAACCAAAGTTCATTGTATGTGTGACAGGAACAAATGCTAAGCATGGACTACGCTGCAAAGCCTGTAAGATGAGCATCCACCACAAGTGCATGGATGGCCTAGCACCCCAGCGGTGTATGGGCAAGCTGGTAAGGGCCTGAGCCCTAAGTGAGCACCAGGACCCCTGCACAGCCACTTGCATTCCCCAATGAGATCACTCTATTCACACTCCTTTGCTGCAACACCCTTGAGAATCGAACACCAGGAGAGTAGCCCCAGAATCCCTGGCCTGCTAGCTTGGCTTCGTAGTTGGCAAAATGGTAGAACAGAGGAGGAGCTTTGTTAGCCTAAGAGATGAATGTTTCACATGGAAAAAAGGACTCTGTGTCCTTAATGGGGTCACCAACCTGTCCCAGATTGGGGCTTTCTCAGTTTTAGCATGGGAAGTCCCACATCTCAGGACTGTCCAGGTTTTAAAAGTGAAAGTTAAGCACCCCAGGACCCACACCCCCTGCCCCAGACAAACTAGGGTGGTTGGTCACCCTCATGCTTAAATTAATTGGCTGAGAGCTCAGTGGGTGTCATGGATAGGGTGGAGATTAACCCCAAAGTTAGTAGAGTAATAAAAATCTATAGAACTTTAATAGAATTGTGATGGTCACACCAAGGAGCCTGGGTAACCCTGGCCCATTCTGGGCTGACCATACCATCTTAGGAGTGGGGGCTTCATTATGGGTGCTACACATTGATAAAAAAAAAAGCAACATTTGAAGATATTTGAAACTAAGATGGCCAAAGATTTGTAGACGGGACTAAGAATATCTACCCTAGAGAAACTTAGGCCATGACAGCTATCTTCAAAAAAATGTAAGACCTGTCACACAAATAGGATCCTGTTGTCATTCTGTGGCTCCAGGAAAAAGACCTAGGATTAATAGGTACCAAGTGGTAACAATCAGAGATAAAGTCACCAAAGACGTGCCTCCATCAGCAGCAGTGTCGAAACAAAGGAGGAGAGGATTCTGGAATTCTAGTAGAGGCAGGGCCATTAAGTTTTCTCTCAATATTAGCATATAATAAGTTAAAATTCTTGGAGAATTCATCAACTTAATCTGATTGGCAAAGTTCTGTTCTCTAAAACTCTGCCTCACTCGTTCTCCTCCTCCTCCAATGGTAATTCTCCCAAGCTAAGGGCAAAGACCATGGGTGAGAGGTCAGAAAAACAGAATGGAATCTAGAACACACAAAGCAAATGATTCTGGTTAGAGCTCATCAGACAAACAAGGGCCTTTAGGCTGACCCCTGAGGTCTGCTTTCTCATACCCAGCCCTTTTATGATTTTAACAAACCACAGTAATAAGCTGTTGTGAAATGAGGCATAATGGTCCATTTGTATCCTGGGAGATAATGAGAAGCCTGGACACAAGAGAGGCTGCTGTGGGCTACAGAGGGAGGGAAAATCTGACAAGGAAAAGCAGGGCTGGGGCTTGCTTTCTGGATGGAATGCAGCTAGCTTATATTGCCACTTGTACATCTCCACTCTCCAGGGATAAATTATAGGACAAGGCAGCATCTTATAGGGAGACAGGGAGGTGGCACTAGAGAAACCATCTGGTTTGTTTTTACAGTTTCTAAGTGGTTTTCTCCATTTCATCAGTGACATTAAGCCCTTCTCTTTCTCATTCTCTCTCCAGCCAAAGGGGTTTCGCCGTTACTACAGCTCCCCCTTGCTCATTCATGAACAATTTGGATGCATTAAAGAAGTTATGCCCATTGGTGAGTTGGGACAATAATGGGTTTAGCTGGATTTTGAGCAGCAATGTCAGCATTAATGGCTTCTGTTCTCCTTGAGCTGTAAAACCAGTGGGGAGTGTTTATGCATTTGTTTGGTGGCTGATGGGGTTCTGATTGTGTATTTTACTGGGAGGGAAATGTAAAGAGGACCAAATTCTGCAGGAATATTTATCCTCTCCCTTTTGAAGCTCAAAAACACACCCAAGTCCCAAAGGCTACATATATGCTATGCCACCCATCAGAAGTATTTGGAGTGGAGCACAGGGTGTGGCATCCCATAGACCTGATTCAAAGCCCAGCTTCCCCACTGCCCACTGTGTGTCTGAACAAGCTACTCAACCTGTCAGACCTTATAAAATGAGAACAGTAATGGCCTCTTTTGATAATTGTTGTAAAAAATAAATACAAATTATAGACCAATGCTGAGAAGGAACTCTCAGCGAGTAACAGTTATCCTTTAATGAGGACCAAAAAAAAAAAAAAATGCCTTATGTTTATAGATATTTCCGGCTTGAATTTATTCTTCAACAATATTTTTCAGTATACTCCTGTTCTCTCTCTCTCTCTCTCTCTCTCTCTCAGTTCAGTATACTTCTATTTTTCTCTCTCTCTCTCTCTGAAAACCTCTACATTGATGTTTGCCTTTTGGCAGCAAGTGGGCGGACCGGGGGGGGGGGGGCAAGTTTTAAACTAGAAATTTGTAAACCAGAAAGCTTTTCATTAGAAATTCATGAAGCCTGGTAATATCAAATTCTTTCAAAAACACTTGCTTTCTACTGCAAACTTCGTGTCTCAAGGCTTTATACCTGAGAAGAACCTTGAAATTGGAGTCCTGGGGATGTAAAACAAAAGAGGAAAATCAACCCATCAGGAAGCATTTGGGAGCAGAGAGTGCTGGGTGCAGTGGAGGGACCTGGCAAATGGGCACATGTCATGGGAGAGCGATTCTGTGAGGAAAGCTTGACCACAAAAGCCCCATTTTCCCAGGGGTTCGTGGGTCTGCAGCTCAGAACCTGCTTCTCAGGAGCATGTGATAAGTGATGCATGATGCAGTTTAGGAGATGTAATAGGCTGTATTCCTGACAGTGAGTTGAAGAAACCTTTCTTTCAGATGCGCTTTCTCTTCCTTTGCAGCCTGTGGCAATAAGGTGGACCCTGTCTATGAGACCCTTCGCTTTGGCACCTCCCTGGCTCAGAGAACAAAGAAGAGCAGCTCCGGCAGTGGCTCTGATTCACCTCACGGGACCTCTGTAATTGTCCTCTTTCTCCCTGGGTCAACCAAGTGCTCCAGGAAGGCAGGCCTCAGGCACTGCATTGTGAGGGCTTCCACCTAAACAAATCATGAGGGCAGGTCTGTTAGGAGTCAGCAGCCTCCAAAGGGAAACCCAAAGGGCTTTGGGCACTAAAGGTTGACTTTCTGTTGCCAACACCCACGAATCATTTTACTTTCCTCCTCAAAGACCATGCTCTTGGCTTCATACTTCTTGACCTTCTCCTCCTTGTACTCTCTCTCCCTCACCCTCCTATCAACACTAGATACCATGTCAGTCAACACAGAAAGATGTGACATAAGCAATGAGCAGAAGCAGGGAGTCCCAGCTGGGTTCAGTCCTCCTTCCGGATGCATCCCAGTTCAAGAATACAGCCATTTCTCACATTTTCTCAATCCTTTATCTCTAAAGCAAGGTACACCCTTGTTTTTCACACAAAAACTGCCCTCCCCAGAGGTGCTCTTCTCAATCCTTTATCTCTAAAGCACAAAGTTTTTCACACAAAAACTGCCCTCCCCAGAGGTGCTTGATCTGTGACTTAGAGGGACTTCTCTCCATGGGACACTCACCATTGTCCCAAGCACCTCTCCCATGTTTTACCTGATCTAAAATGAGTGTTCCATGCATATCTGTGACCTGCTATCATTATCCTGCCTCTGGCTGTCCCAACCAGAATTTCTATAAATGCCACACAACTCTACAGCTCATGCAGCATCTTTCCTGCAAAAAGACTAGGACCTCCCAATTCACATTTCTAATTAGAATAGTTTGCACACAGTTATCAGTTCCGTTGCTGCAGCTTCTGCTGGACTGCAGACTTCCAGGCAAGACACAGATGAGCCTCCAAATCGTCTGCCCCTCAGGGTCCTCTCAACATGCAGTGATTGGGGTGGATTGTGGGAGAAGTGCAGGCAGACCCCTGGGAGGGATTCTTAGGGGCTGGGATGACTTAGCTTCTTCACTGAGTGTGGGCCACTCCACAAGATAACAGCTGGTAATCTGTGGTAGGTAGGTCAGGTGGGTGAGTAGGTAGGTTCATAGGTCACCTGACCTATGCCACATGATCATCTTAGAAACCAGCTTTAAACTCACCGAAAGCCCTGTTCCTCATATGTCCCACTAACTTCTAAGAGGAAAGAACCAAAAATAGTTCTTACTCTTTTTCCTTGTTGAACATAAAATTGATATTGATTTTGTTCTTTCTTTTACCACTCAGTTAGCAAACATGAATTAAGTGCTTACAATTTACTAGCACTGGAGGAGACACAAAAGAAATGGAGGACATGGCTCTTTACTCTTAGAATTCACAACTTACTTCCGAAGACCAAACTGATAGAGAAGAAAGTTGATGGTGGCGGCTTATTTAGCATTCTTTAAGTACAGTTTTATGTGTCTTATCTTATTTTTATTAGGAATAAGAACAAAACATACATGTGTTAAGGGTATTATAATATCTATGTCATGTAAGTGTTGAAGGATTTCACAGCAAAGATGGAAAATATTTAGCTTCGATAGACATTGCCTCAAAACAGTGAGGGTATATTTTGTGACATTTTAAGATACCCAATCCTGACGATCTTCCTAAGGAGGCTATAAATCAATTTGGCAGTCCCGATGATAATGTTAATTCATTTCCTGAAAGAAGGATAGAAACAGTGCTAAATGTAATGAAAACATACAAAGTGTGTATGAATAAGATTTATATTATATACAAATACGTTATGGCTACAGGAGTTGGATGATCATAATAGTATTAGCAAAGTTCGTAGCACTGGGTCTGGCACAATTAGTACTCAGTAAGTGTAAGTCGTTTCTGTTTTATTTCATTAAGTATCTGGGCTTTAACTGGGTTTTCATTGAACTAGAGTTATTATGAAATGAAACAAGGTTGTAATACATTCAAAAGGTAAATACGTTCTCTGAGAAGAGCGTTCCCAGAGCCACCCTTGAACAGGGTCCATTCTCAGCTCTGTAAGAAACCGTAGATCACTCGAGAGTTCCATGCTGTCCTTCTGCTCATATTCTTCTGTCCTTCTGCCTGTCTCCTTTGTCCTGTCTTCCAGTCACTCCTTTGTTGGGGTGTCCCCAGGAGTCTGCTTTAGCTTGGTCGTCATGTTCTACATGCTCTTCCTGGTTACCTTTTTTACAATTCCTCTTGTCCAACCGCCATCTCTAAGCTGATGCCTTCCTTGGGTATTTCCCATCCTAACCTCTTTCCCAGACCAGTTCTACAGATCTCTCAAAATCAGCATGTCCAAACTAATTTCATGCTCCATTGCTGATGAGGTCCTGTCACTCAGAACTCAGAAATGTGTATCAAAAGCACCTTTCTTCTCTATCACCAGCGCTGGAGGTTTGAAGCCATCATCTCTCAGCCAGATTCTTATAAAGCAATAACTGTGCTACTGTCTTCCTTTTGAGTCTAGTCTTAGCAATACCTCCTAATTTATCATCTTTTAAAGAAAGATTTCATGTAATTTTCCTAATTAAAACACTCTGTTGACTTGCTTATGCCCAAAGGGCAATGCTCAAACTCTTTAGCATGGCAAATGAGGCCTGCCTAAAGACACTTCTTCGCCTGAACTCACCAAGTTCTTTAATATCTGCAAACCTTAGAACATACTCTTCCCTCCGGATGGAATCCTTTAACACTCAGCTTGGTTTTTTATAAAAACTGTGAAGAGTTCTCGGATTCCCCAAGCATAATAAGTTGCTCCTCCCACAAACCTTTAAAAATTTCTTTCTTGTAGGATACAGACCACTGCATTATAATTATTTGCTTTTGCATCTCTTTCCTAAACTAGCTACTGAGCCACTATAGATCAAAGCCCCATTCCTTATTCATTTAATTATACCAGGGCCTGGCACATAATGGGTGCTTGAGAAATGCTTGAAGAATGAGGAAGAATTAACAAGGGATTCTTGAAGACGGACCTCAGAACATTAAGAGATCCACACAACACTTCGTTTTCGTATCCTCAGCTCCAGGCGCAGTTTGCTGCTTTCTGGATAGCCATGTTCTCTCTAGGCACTGGGACTTGCCCACATCTTGTCTCTGCCTCTGTGCAAATGACGTTTCTCTTCCTGGACTGGATTGGGCTCCCCTTCCCTGGGTTCTCATTAAGACCAACTCATTAATCATAGTGATTTGTACATTGCTTGTTAATTTTCTTTCTTTCTTTTCTTTTTTTTTCTTTTTTTTTTGGTTTTCATTTTTCTCTCTCTTCTCCAGTCCCCTCCTCAACTAAACTAAGTTGCTTAAATACAAGGACTCTTCTTCACTTATTTCCCTTACTTTATGCCAGTGATTATCAAACTCTGGTGGGTAGCAGAAGTCACTGAAGAGCTCTGCAAAAATATGAAGGTCAAGGTCATGTCCTACTTCAACAAGCCTGGACCTCTGTGTGCTTTATTAGTTCTCTAGGTGATTCTGAAATCTGCCAAAGTTTGAGAACCACTGATCTATACAGTGCCAGTCTATTGTAGATTCTCATTAAATATGTGATAAATGAATGACTGAATGAATGAACACCCTTTTCAGTCAAAATCTCTAAACTTCTAAAGAAGACCTACAACCTACAATGAGTTAAATCAGTGGTTCTCAATGTGTGGTCTCTGGACCCAGTATTACCTGGGAACTTATTAGAAAGGCAAATATATATTTTCCTCTTAAACCCACAGAATCAGAAAAACCAAGGGTGGAGCCCCACGATCTGTTTTAACAAACCCTCCAGGTGATTCTGATCACATTAAAGTTTGAGAATCACTAAATTAAATAAAGGACTTAAGTTTATTTCCAAAAATCCAGCCCCTGCCAGCCTCTCCTCTTTCTTTTTCATATTCTCCCTTGCTTGCTCATGCTTGTTTTGCTCCCTCTCTGTGTGAACAACTCGTGAATCACACATTCACAATGCCCATCAGGCTGGATCTGGTCTGGAACAGAGATTCATTCAAGAACATTAACCATGTCTCTAAATCCATGGCCCATTTTGTATCTCCGTCCTCAGGAGAGTGAGGAAGGCCATTGCTGCCTACAAGTCGCTTCCCCAGAACCACACAGAGCTGGCTCTCAGCCTGCAGCCACCCCTCTTTGCAAGTCCAGGCTTTTCATAGATACCACCCAGCAACCCAACAGAAAACTACAAACAGTGCTAGCCAGAGTAAGGAGACCTCTGTCCACTTTGACCTGAATGCTGAACAGGCCTCTATCTGTCTCTGGTGACAGCCGATATATCCTCATCTTGCTCTCAGCTCATGCATCTCCCATGCTTGTCTGAGGCTGGCAGTGGTGAGAGGCGAATGGAAAGTCAGCCAAAGGAGGCGAGAATAGAAAAAAGCCCTCCCCAGAGATGGCCCTGACCTGTTTGCATCAGCCCCAGATGGCCTATCCTGTGGTTCTGAGCTCTGCTGAACTCATGACGATGAGACAGCCTCAGAAACACTCACAGCAGGTGATGGACATTTTAGCCTCCACATTTTGGGCTCATGCTAAGAAACAGCAAGACCATCAGAGAGACAATTTGTCCAGTTTGCTTTCATGTCTAAAATAGTTTTGTTTCTAGCAATGTCTGGACCCTACAGACTGGTTTTAGGGGCAAAAAGCATAGTTTTCTGAATGTAAATAAGGTGTTTATTCATCACAGCCCACTTATGCTTCCTGGTACAGGCTCCATCAGTAAATATTTCTTGGAATATTTGCTGTGTGAAGACATTGTTCTGAGACCTGCAGGGAGACAAAGACAAATCAAATTGTGCTTAAGTATCTGTCACTTCACTCTCCCCAGAGTCCCACTTGCCTCCAAACAATTGATTCGTACTTTAAGATGATTTTGCTTCCTTCCTGCAGGGTCAAATGATAAAGAACTTCAGCCTCTTGCCGTTCTTGCAGTATTATGTCCTAAAGCTAATATATTCCCACATAGCAAAGCTCGATCCCACAGGTTGATTTTCTTCCGGGGCTATAGAAGCATTTGCTTTACAGTGTCGGGAAGTCACTGCCTGGCTGTTGCTAAATCGTTATGTTCCCTTTAATGGTCTTCCAAATGTTCTAGAATATAAAAGGCTTGATGGCTTTGGGAAGGCCTGCAGAAACCAAATTTAAAAAGACTGTCTGGGAGCTGGTTAGCTAGTTTAGGAAGAATCTTGTTTCATAAGATTAAATTAACATAATAGCAACTTTTCAGGAAGAGTGAGCTTCAAAGGAGCAGGGTGAAGGTGACTTAGAGACCCTGTGACATTCTTTTTTTTTTTTTCTTTTTTCATATTTCTGATGTGTCACAAAAGAATGGCTGAAAAATCTTAAAGCTAAATTTTTATAATAAAAATTAGTCTCTGGAGAGGGGTGCCAAAGTGCTCTGGAGCTGACTAGAAGAGCTAGGAAGGTAAACTTGTTCCTCTTTGATAAGATATAAATAAAATGTTTTGAAAATGTGACTCTCTTTTGAGGCCTCCTAAATTCCTCTTTTAAAGAGGCTGGAGCCTGGCCTTTTGAAAGAAGCCATCTAAAATCAGTGATGTTCTAGTAAATGTTTAACCACCAGCTGAGGCTAGACCCTACTTTGTAACATTTGCAAATTTCCTTGGTGTAAATATTCCCACCTTGAGCAGTTTCAAGCTACCAACCATGGTGACGCTGAAGTCTCTCCCAGCCCACGCATGTCACTCCAGCACCACACTGGATGGATAAAGTACAGTGTCTGACAGTGTGAGTTTTGGAGACAATGTCTGGTGTTCAAACCCCAGATTCGCCACTTGTTTGCTGTGGGACTTCAAGTAGAGTTACTGATTCTGGGTTTCAGATTGCTATCTGAAAATAGGTTGATCATACAATTATTGTAAAGAATAAACAAGGTGATGTATATAAAGTACTTATATGATAAATGATCAAGAACTATTACTATTATTGCTGTTTTATTATTCTGTAACTTAAGTGGAAGAAGGACCATGACTTTTTTTTTTTTTAAAAAAAAAGGGCAGAATAAGTCTTACAAAAACAATTGATTTTTGCAGCAATGGAAACAGCCTTTAACTCATACCTAAGTAACACATTCGTCAATAGTGCATCTTATTCTCTATAACTAATATTTAAATCTCACCTATAGAAAGAGCTATATAGTTCTATTGAAAATTTTAAGTAACAGGCTATGGGCAGGAATTCTGATTTCTCTCTGCTGTCTCTTGCTGGGAAGAAGCCTAACTGTAACCTGTGCATCTGATTCAACACTCATTGAGAATCTATCATATGTCAAGCTCTGAGCCTTCCACAGACACCTGAAAAAAGAGACAGTGCCCACGATGGAAAACATAGCCTCTCTGAAGTTAGCCAAATAGACAAGACAGCAGTGATTGGATTCTTAAGACAGTGTCATGCAAATTCTGCCTTAGTTTTTTGCTGACATAGAACGCTCTGTTCGGGTGGCCCACTGATATGACATCGCTCATTCCGTGCTGTTCCCTCTTCTCTCCAAGACTTCAGATCTTGTGGAGGTTCCTGAAGAAGTTGACGGGCCAGGAGAAGGGTATGACCTACGGAAACGCAGCAACAGCGGTGAGTGAGGGAACAGGAAATTAGGCACTGCTTAGCACAAGTGCGAATCATGTCAGTCGCCTGAGTCAGTGGGCAGGGAAAGTAGACTTCCAGTCCCTTTGCTTTCCCTGCTACTCTGGAATTCAACCTGGGCAAGTTCTCAACATTTTGGAGAGAAAGGCGTAATTACTGGAGGATTTCAGTGATTTGACTCTAACGTTCTCTGAGTTCTGTCTCCTGAGTTCTCATGCCATGTGGACTTAGCTATACTGGGATTTAAGGATCACTTCTAGACCTTTTTATTAATGCATCATTTTTCCCTATGTAAGATTAACAAACCATGCTACAGAGAAGCTACTCCATGCAACACTCAAAGTACCTTGGGCCAGGTGGGTGGTGGTGCCAGGGAGGGAAGTGAGGGCCGCACATTCGACATTTTCCCAGCAGAGATAACTAAGGCTCTGATACGTACGATCTAGCCAAACGTTCATTATCAACATTATTTAATTTCTAATACCTTAAACCCTTGTTACAATAATTTCTAAAATATTTATTAAATGCTAACTACATACTTTTGCTTGCTAACATTGAGAAAGGCCTCTGAAACCAGAGCTTAAGGAAACATAACCAGCTCCTTATGAATGCATCTTGCCGAGCCTCTCTGACCTGAACGACTACTTAATCTCCACTTGTTTGTCCAAAAAAATATTTATGAAGCATTTACTATCACCAGCAAAGATGCATAGGTCACAAAAGCTGTCCTCAGGTCACTCATAATCTTGCACGTCCTGACTTAGGCCATTTACTCGGGCTGAGTGCATCTTTAGGGCAGCAGTTATCCCTCCCAATTCCCAACCCTGCAGGTGAAGCATGGGGATGTGCCTGCCTGGATATGTTTCCCACTTGACTAGTTGCCCTGCCTTCTCTAGCCTGGAAGCAGGAGTTCTGCATTCAATATCCCGCAGGTGCTTTGTCAGCAGCTATCCTATGAGGTATCACTTCTACTTCCTTAGTTCTAAGAATTCATGTATGTCCCTTCTCTAGTTAGGACTGTGCCTCTGTGAGTCCCACAAGGCAGCACGTGCTTGGCTTCCCCTGTGACTCTCCTTGTTAAATAAGCATCAGTATTCGCCATGGCCCCCCTTGCCAAGCCCACAACATCTGCTAAAGCACACTGTGAGGGTAAGGATTCTTTGACATCACATGGGGAAAACTGCAAACATTCACTGAGCATTTAGCATTGCCACTATAGAGGCAAATTAAGGGAGTGCCAACTGCCAGGGGACCCTCCCAGTGGGCAGTAGCACTGCAGGACCATCCCAGCC